GCCGCAGCGTGCCCGTGTTCCCCGCCCCCGAAGACGCGGGCGGCGCCGGCAGCTTCTCGCGGATCTCCTCCTTCAGCTGCTGGATGTTGTTTTTCTGAAACACACCACACGCCGACTCGTACCTGCATTTAGACGCACACATTTCTTACCTCTTCGTTTTGTAATGCTAGCTAGTGAGCGCACATCTTACTTTGTTCACCTTCACTTAAACATTCCTTTTTGAATTCCAGCACTGTAAACGACCTTTTTCGTTACAAGATATAGTTTACAAAAGGATATCTTACGGCACTGATCATGGCGTATTTGCAGTTTATGGAGCGAATAACTGTGTCGTCATCATCATCACTCATTCACCAATCGCAACGAGAGAATCGTGGGGAGGTAGCGGTAAACGAACCAGTCTACTACAGATTTTTCACTCACATGTCAAATACCCGTGGCGTCATATCAATTGTTTTCAAAAATTAACTCTGATTATCTTATAAATGTACAAAAATTAGCGTATGCGACTCGTTTATAATGTTGCATTCGTTCAAATTTGAAAATTCGCTCCTAATGTTGCTCATTTTCAAAACATGTACTCCTACAACACAGCTTAGAATCATTTATAAGTAGTTATTAGTAACTACTTAAAAATGATTATAAACTACTATTGACACACCAGTGAATTCCTTATACAAGTAATAAAGTACCCTGCGTCCAACAGTCAAGTCGTTCATTGGTTCGTGCGGCTGACACTCACGGTTAACCACTTCAGTTGTACCAATTGCGACGAAGAGGTGTCAGTCGACGCGTCTCGGTCTCCTCATGAATTTCTGCGGATCCAGCGAGAAAATTCTGAGAAATTTCTTCTAAAACGTTTTTTTGTCGTTTTAAATAACAAAATCGCAGTTTGGTAACTTATAGCACTTACAAAGGGTGATCAATAGCTCATTCGAGTTACCTCACCCAGACAAATCGATTTGCAAGAATTCTCAGCCGGTTTCCTTTATGATATTCAGGGGGGGAAAGTTACAAAAACGGTTGATTTTGAGCCTAAGGCGCGACCTTATGCATCGACAAGTACACTATATAAACGCTGTGAATTTCTATATTTCCAACATTTACACGAACCGCAACAACGATAAATGAAACTAATTTTGTAGTGCAACAAGACGATAAATCAGTATTTTCAGTCAATGTTCATGTAACTTTCTATGGCAAGAAATGGAGGAATAGGAAAACTGAAATATGGTTAAAATTTGTTTACTATTATCTTGCAAAAAACAAATTAAACTTTTAAATAAGACAATATGCACAGGAGACGCAACGCTATGGTAATATATAGTTTTTTTTTGAATTTATCATCCTCAGCGAATTTAAAATTTAAAGTGGAATAATAGTATCTCAATATATGAAATGTATCTTGGTGTATTAAGTCAGTTACTTATTCTAATTTTTGACCAAACCAGAGCACTTCAAGGACAGTATAAGAATTCTAGTTCGGGGCGTTATTTACCGATGCATAGTGCAATAATGACGAGAAAAACATATATTCCCTATAGCAAATTTATGTGTTTTGATTTTATGCCGCTAAATAGCGTGAAAACGGTCGTTTAAAGAAGTATATAGTACTCAGTATTCCAGTACTCAGTATTTTCATTGAAACACATACTTTTGGTTAACATATAGAGTGAATTACACCAAGCACGCCTATTTTAATCAGAAATGTAACAAGACACCCTGGAGTTACACTTTAAAATATGATCCAAATCTCAAAATGTTGATACAACTCCTAATCTTTCTTTGACAAATTTAATTTCAACTATTTCAAAACAAGAATAACAAGGAAAGTTTTGCTTTATTAACTCTTTTAATGTTTCTAATATGTTTTGAAATAAATCAAATAGCTTATTTGGAGTCACATGAACTAAGGTTATTAGTAACTACTTATAAATAGAAAATGGTTGTACTTCCCATATTACCTCGTTTTGAATTCAGCATGGTAAAAGTATTTCATAAAATACGAGGAAAGTACGGCATCTTTTAGGTTTATTATTTGCTTTTACAGAAAATAATGATTGAACATTAACATTAGTCATTTTATGGCTGTGATTTATCTTTTCATAATAATGATGATTCCTAGTTTAATTGGCCTTCGAAAAAATAATCTCGAACATTTACGCCGCTACTTTGGGCGCAAGAACGAACACAAAAAAATTATAGATCGTTCAAAACCAATTTCTCCGTACAATGACAAATGCACCACGGTTAATTTCAAACCAACAGCTGCACAATGAATTCCATCTCGAAACCTCAGAAAACCACATCACACACCTACATTACAAATGTCAACAATTAAGCCAACAATACAAAAATGAGGCATCCGGTAAGAGGGGAAGCTAACCCACAGAACTCAAAACCTGATTTTATTGACATCTCCAAAGCGTTCATAATAGAATACGTTGACAAATCGCTATTTTGAATTTTGTATGTTAGCTCCCTCTCTCATTGGATGACTCAAATGACAACCGCACTTCGTAAAATCTGGAAACGTTTGTAACTCAGGACCCCGCCACCATTCCCTCATGGGAAAAAAAGTGGGCGAATTTCTCGCGGAGTCCCCACATCGGCCTGCGCGCACGCGCACGCGTGCAGGGCGGCGGGCGCGGGCAACCAGAGCTGAACGCGCGGGGCGGGCCGCCGCGCCCGTCGCCCGACTTTCGCGCGAAGGCAGCGGCGCGCGCACAGCACCGCGCCCACGCCCGCGCCCATCGCCGACCGCCAATCTTCCGCACAGCTAAACGCTCCTACGCCCCAGGGATTCACATCAACTGCCATCAGCGCGGCACACACACAGAGAGAAACGCACCGCCGAGGAGTTTCACGTGCGGGGTGTCGATCAACGGGACGAGCGAGTGATGGCAAATTCTAGGAAAACAGCGCCGAAAGGATTTCGATGTCGATGGAAACATCGCCAAAAATCTTCAATGTTTTAAATATGATGAAACAAACAGGTTTATTTAATCATGTTTCCATTTTTTAAATAACACTTTATTAAATTAGTTATATTTTATAGTTCGAGTACATACAAGAATTGTGTTTATTATAATGTTTATAGAATGTAAAGAAGGAAATAAAAAATTAAGGACATCGTTTCTATTATTCAGTACCATTTATAAATCATCGAAGTAAAATGGCCTGAATATAATGTCACACATATCACATCAATATTAGTTTCATGTGTATTCTGCCATAAATTTGACAGCCATGTTAATTTTCTCATCAATGTTCTATGTAGTCAAGGTTCAAAATACAGTTTAATGATGTTACCACGTATAAAAGAATCAAAAACGCCGCAACAGGACCGGAGAAAGGTTGCGAAAAGCGATCGGGTTCGTGTAGGGTAGGGATCCTCAACAGAGACAGTTGTCAGTGGTAGTTGATAACAAGCAATCAACAAAAGTGAAAATTTTACTTATATCATTAAAACGTTTTTAAAACATTGATGTTTCTGGACAAATATATCGATCCTAAGAAAACATCGAAAGCAAAACATCGATGTTACAATGTTTCTTCTCGAAAATTCGATGTTTTAAAGAAATCGATAATTTTTTGCCATCCCTAGGACGAGCGCCACAGACGAAGTAGCGGAGATAAAACAATGAGAAAAGAGTGATGCTATAGAACAACACAGACTTTCTCGTCCTGGTTAGTTTTCTATTATCGTGCGTATGAGCTAAATTTTCGACCCATTCTGCTCCCATCTGCCCATAAGACACATTTTTGTGTTTTCGGTATCGGGGCCGCACAATACAAGTTTTTTCTATTAAATAAACAGCCGGATTATTTTTGGTGATGGGCAGCAGCATCACACAACTTTCCCTCTCGTACTATGCATTACGGCGTATATAATTACGTATACAACGAAGTAATAATCAGATCATGTATCCACTCCACCACTGGAAACAGCGTACGTTCCTCCCAACTTGGCACAAGGTGAAAGGCTCCAGTAATAATTTGTTTTCACAAGTAACACAACAAAACGAACTAAACAGCATGCTTGTTTTTAAAAAAGTCTCTTCTTCACAGTCACAAGTTTCATACACATGGACAAACGTGACAGGCGCGTTAGAAAAAGCGAGACTCGTAGGCTGTTGTTTACTCGTGGCTTGATGTACCACTAAAAACCAAACATATGTCGTTTAACTAAATCGAACATCCTGCGTTAAGAAGCCATTTTTTGATAAAATATACGTTACGAGAGACATAAATATTGATGTTTCGCTGAAAATTCTAGTTTTTCTTGAGAGGCGCTTGTCTATTTGTCCGGCCGTTCGCATTCATTTAGACTTTCCTAGGAAGATCTTTTAACTCGATTTGAAACTTTGTACTGTCTTATAGCAGATTAGTTTGCGTTAATACATTTGTTGTTATTTGAATATACATTTTTAAGTGTTTTTTTTGCAATTGAACAAATAAAATAAATAAAGTAATTTATTGCCTATGCAAGAATTTAAATATGAAAAGCAAATCTTTTTCTTAGGTACTTCATAGTTAATTTTACGTTTCTGCACATTTGTACTTTGTAGTTTCAAATGTATGTATTATTATCAATTTAGTAAATAGAATATTCAAACTATGTTTGATAGAATAATTTGAAAGAAGCTCATTTATTTATTTATTTATTTTTTTTTTAAACTTCATTTGAGACAAAATCTTACACCAAGAAATGTTTCTCCTGTGGGCTACTTCCATTCATTTTCCATGCTTGAATTGAATCCATGATGTGACTTACGTTTTAATCTACGCAAATTGCATAAATATCGTATTATGTGATACTTTATACTTTTTTCATGTACGTCAATACAAACAGCTGAAACATACGAATTTCCTCTGAAACACTAAGTCAAATTTTAAATATAAATTAACATGAGAATAACCGCTGATAACCGCTGTCTTTGAAACGAATGTACAAGCATATGACAGTCAATTTCCATACAGCATAAACAGTGTACATAAAAGCCCGGAAAAACTTTCTTCCTTCTCATATGGATGCAACCAAGAATGCAGAGCAACGGCGATTTTCAAGTGAAACGCAATTTACTTTACATTTACTGCTAATTCCAACACCGCACGTTTTCCATAGGATTTCGAAGTATCCCAGGGCAGCGTTTCAATACATCGCGGGAAATGAATATTTTACGAACGCCGTAACTTCGGGCGAGCCAACCTTACGGGCCAGCTCACAGAACGCGTCCGCCAGCGTAAATGTGTAAGTACTTCATCAGCGCCGGCGTCTGACTCGCGGAGCATGACTTCGCGCAAACCCGCGCCATAAACCTCCGCTTCGCAAACAGCATCTCGGTCAAACTGCTTTGCCGCAGAGACGGTCCGCTGCGCGCCTCCGTGCCCGGCGAACTGACAAGTCGCGCGTTTCACTCGTATCGATAATTCAAGCGGTACCACACGTGCACCACATTCCGCACTGGGGAATCTATTTCTGTTGGGTGCATTCACATCTTCTTTTGTTCTTTCTAGTCTCTCTCAATCATGCACGTTTGCGCGCTTTATTTATTCAACGCATGACAGATAGGACGAAGAAAAAGATTGCGAGAGAAATATTAATGTAATATTTCTTCAATTGCTATTAGAAGTCAGAACCGAAGAATTATGTGAACCAATAATCAGTCCCCAGAAATAGACATACGTACACCGCCCACAATATGTTTTATGTATTTCTACAGAAATCATGGGGCCTTGATGATGTGAAGGTGGTCAATGATGAAATGTCCTTAAATGAACAAGAAACGCCTAATAGTGAATTACGAACATGATAACGCACGGTAACAAATCAGTCATGCTACCGCGACGCCGAGAAGCCCCAGAAATAAGACACCCGTTGTAACTTCTTTGACTCCTCAATAACACGCCGTGGCACACATTCGTGTGCCAAAAGCATACCATCAGGTGAACATAAAAGAACATGTGGCCGACTACAGTATACTTCGATTTAAATGTAGTGTCCCTTGAACGTCATGAACTGGAAGTAGAGAGGAACACTGTCATCCAATAGGGAGCTTCGTTACTACTTAATTTATGGTATTGAAGCTCCCGATTGCATGGCAGTGTCCCACACTCCTTCCAGCTCGTGACCTTGAAGGGACTCTGCACTTATATTCCGATTTAAACGGAATGGCACTTCAAGGGGCCACGAGCTGGAAAGAGAAGGCGACATTATCATCAATCGGAGGCTCCAATACCAAAAATTTGTCATAACGAAGCTCCCGATTGGTTGACAGTGTCCTCCTCTCCTTCCAGCTCGTGGCCTTCAAGGGCCTCTCCGTGTCAATCGGAGTATACGTAGCACAGGACTGATAGGGCGTTCGGCCAGTGCGAAGGGGCGGCCCACTGCACTCACAGAGGCATCGGCGTCGCAGGCGTCGGAGGCGTCGCTGGCGTCGGAGGAGGAGGAGGTGGAGGACGATGCCTCGGAGGAGGCGTCGCAGGCGTCGGCGTCGGAGGCGTCGGCGTCGGCGTCGGCGTCGGCGTCCGCCTCGGCGGCGTCGGGTCCGTCGCGCGCACGCATCGCGGTGGCGCTGAGGGGACTGTGGCCGGGCGCTGGCCAAGTGTGCCTCCGGCAGCTTTCGCTCGCCCGCAGCATCGCGCCCCCCTCCCCCTCCTCCCCATCACACCGGAGATCTCCCTCGCACGAGAATCTCTTGGCCACTCTTCTCCATTAACATTTGCCGTGCTCCCATGCGTGAATCGACCCAAATCGAATTGCAAAGGAAACCTCTACCGTTTGGGCAGTGCAGTCAAACCTCGTTAACCTCCACGTCCGGATAATCCCAACCAATTTTGGAAAAACCCATGATTTTTTTTATATTTATATTTACTATTATTATTATTATTATTATTATTATTATTATTATTTTGTTATTTATGATCTCCTCAACAGCTAGGTCATTGGCGACCACTATTGCATTTAACGACATGGTAACTGTGAAGATGACATAATGTGGTGATGATAGGGGGACGAACACAAATACAAGTATGCCCGAGACGGGACTCAAACCCGCGATCCTTCGGTCCGAGTTCGCTACGGCACTACTGTCTTAAAGATCTCTGCCGTCCGGACCGGCATAAAGCACGTTGTTTAGCGTAGAAATGAAGTTTTGATTTACAGACGATAAATCCCAATTCTCTGAAGATCATCTTCAATTACTCGGATACACTTGCCAGCGGTCGATGTCATATTTTTAGGTGAAAGAGCGCCGATAATGACTTCTATACTCCATTAAACATGTTTGATAGACCCAGGTTCCTTTTTCATCATTTTCACCTCATTTCGGTTAACCCGGATTTTCGTTAACTCGGTTCGACACAGGTTGATACGGGTTAACGAGAATTGAATTGAATTGGTGACTTATGTTACGTGGCGAGACTCGGGCTATCAGACCCGCTCTTCCGTCTGACCCCACAAATTTCGCTACTCTATTTCTTGGGCGACGAAACAGGCGATTTGAATTTAGCTCAGAGGCGTCATTTAGGCTTGAGGATTTTTTACATTCACGTAAATCTACTAACATGAAACAACTTTGCTTCCTCTCCGAAGGAAGGCTTCAAAACGAAGAATTTTTTCACCCTTAAAAATCCACGGCTTCTATCGGGTTCCAACCCGCGGGTATAACAGTACGAAACGCTGACCGTCACACCATCTCGCTGCCCAACGAGATTCTACTGAATTTGAAGAATTCGCAGAATGTGTTATCACATGTTGGTTCCTCCATTGTCCGAAACACTACCAGCGATAATTACAATGTAATAATAATTTTATATTGCAAATCTATGTACGTAGAATGCGCAAAGCCGCAATTACCCATCGGGGCCCACGCCGAAGCAAAGCGCAGACTGCAAAGCGCAGCGCAGCGCAGTGTGGTGCAACGGCGTGCGCTTTTGGAAGGCGATCGCCTCCGCGGGCTGTTTGCTTAGCGCCGTGCGCAAAGGCGCGCGCAACACGCTCTGGCCGCCAGCGGGTCAAACACATGCAGCCGACACCTGGCGCCGCGTCGCCACAACTGCGGGTGCTGGGCCACACTCGCGCTGGGAGGCCGTAAGTGCCTGCGGCTTTCGATAGTGTTCTGTTCTGACGCCGGAGATGCACTGGGCCAGTTCCGATAGTGTGATTCAAACATGACGTCTGCATTTTCTAAACGGGTGTTTTACATCTCTGAGACAATTTATGCTGAATTCAAACCGTCTTTACATTCGCGAGTCAGAGATTAGTATTTTTCTAGAAGCTTTTCATATTTCCTATAGTTTTGTATTGATAGTGAATGAAACCTGTGATGGAAACCTGTTCGTTGGTAAAGTTTCATTGAAGAGTGCGTGTCGATTGTTGATAATGTGAATTTACATCGAGTTATATCGTTACTTACCTTTCTGGTCCAAACAATTTTCATTCACAAATACTCATTAAAGATACGTATTTTATGTTGAAACATTTTACTTCTGGGCAAACTTAACAATAAATTCATTTAGATAGTAATCCTCAAACACCTCCAATAATTGCGAAATTTTGTCAAGTGCCGTACTCGTTTCAGCCAAAGAATAATTCCAGCACACTTTCGCAAAGAATATCACTTCTTCAGAACGGGATATAGGATCTTGATCCGACAAGATTCACAGCAACAATTTTATCACAGACGCTGCAAAATAACTACACTGGCACAGTCACAAAAAATCCATTTAATATATTTCCGGTAGATTTTCATTCAATTATTTTGAATAATGATCTGTGATGACAAGTGCCAAGCTTGTAACAATAATCTTAAAAGTAATTCTTAATAGAACGAGTGGTATGAAAGGGAGAAAATATCTTTCTTTTATGGTGAGAATACAACAGCGAGTTACATACCTACCTCTAAGCGGGGGTGAAATTGAACTTTAAACATCTGAAAAGTACAGTAGCAAAGAAAACGCACAATGTTAAAGATACTACCTCACTACCTTCTCAGGCCGTCACCACACTGTTCGTTCTGGCCACTCGACATCATCAAAGTTCATCACTCATTAGCACCGCCCCCCCCCCATCTTCGGGCCTCTTCTAACACTTGCTCATATTCATCGTCAGCTCTTTAGCGCGACATGTGGGGTTACACTGAGTTAGAAATCGCTCGCATTATGTCCGATATCACTACATCCACCACTGAAAAATAGGGAACTGAAAGGAGGAAGCAGTTACAGAGCAGCAGAGAAGCGAAATCAGCATGGTCGAATCGGCTTTACTTCCTTACATACGTCCATATCATGGCCTCCTTTTTTACAGTCATAAAGAGGACGCTTTTTTCGATGAAACACGAAGACTACGTATGAAATTCTCAATTTGTAACATATTTTGTAAATCTTATACAAATGTTACTACTATATTTCGTGAGTGAAATTTTTATTCTTACATGATCTCGATTTTTACGTAAACCTATATGTTCCGTAAAAAACTAGATTTCGATCGTTCAAGAACAATAAAGTCACTCACTAACATAAAAGTAACATTTTTAAATACCTACTAAATGTTTAATGATTCTTTAGTGATATACCCTTTGTTTCTTCGTTTCACTAAAGAGTATCAGAATAAAACTGATGGTAGAGGGTCCTAGATATGACACCCACACATTACCATTTGTGAGACGTAATGACTCTTTTACATTTTTTCCTCGAAATTGTGTGAGTCCTGTTACTACGCTTTGATTCCGACTACAGAAGACTGGTACTGAATTTCGATGAAAGGCTTTTGGGTTGTACTTTAGGAGCGTGAAGTAGGAACTTCCCGAAAAATTTCATTTTTAAAAATTGCCTTCCATAAGCAGAGCAGTCATTCTCGAAATGGCTCGATATCTTATTC